TGACGGCCTCCTCCTGTTCGGGTTGGCATGAGTTCCGAGTGGTGAGAAACTCAGTAGCTAAATCTGGGAGTTGTGTTTCAGCGCTGCTGTAATGGTGTCTGGCATTGTTTCTTCTACGAACTACTTCATGGTCGCCCTCGGATGCTCTAAGGATTTGAAACTTCATTTAGCGACCCACTTTGGCGGCAGTTCTTTCGGGGTTGGTATCGGTAGCTCCCATGCAAAGTATACCAACTGCTAAAAAGGTACTCTTTCTGTTTCAGTGGCTCTATTCACCGTTGGACTCCAGCAAGACGCTTTGCTCACAGAGGGTCCCTCTGAAGAACTAACATTAACCAGCAGCTGTGCGCCACCGGAGGAGAGGAAGCGATAGACTTGACAGCAATTTGCAGTCTCGGTACTATTTCTCTTCAGGTTGAATCATATTCCGTCTTAGTCTTGCGATTCCGACGCTCTCCATTTCTATTGGTTGGTACGTCACGTGTCGCAGCAGAAGAACCTACGAATGGTGCCTGAAAGTGTCACCACGCGCTCTTGGATGGGCAAAGAGTGGAGAGTGTTTCACTGTGCCACGCGTAGCTAGCATCCTGGACGCTGAATGTCCATCCTCCAAATGCTCTGTTCCAACGAAATGAGAGTTTTACGTCGAAAGGTGATCTGCTAGGCTGATCAGAAGAGTGCCACCTCGTCTTCAATAGAAACTCAATTCAGATACCGTAACGAAAGAAGAACGTAATACCTGCACCGTCCATTTGCTGCTCCAGTGTTTAACGGTGCTCTTTCTTTTACGTATGAGGCGACGCCAACAGAGATGCGAATCAATCCCCATTTATTCTCTACTCCTCCATACTTCTCTTCCTCCTGTCATTTTTTTTTTCAACCTTCATCTGCCTCTGCAACGCTCCGCTTCCAGTAAGTTGCTAAAAGCAAAAGTCCTTGAGTACCGAAAAAGTGCCGTTATTCCGCTGAACTTTCACCTGTTGCTCGGCTTTATACAAACAAGCATATATATATATATATTTATACACATACTCTCTGCGGCAATAGACAGATGAGCGGATTCTCGTCGATTCTCGGTGCCCCAGGAGCGACGGGAGACTTCAAGTACATGAGGAAGAAGCTGATCGGGACAGGGTCCTACGGTGAGGCATGGTTGGTGGAGCGCGTCAGCGACAAGGCCATATTCGTGGCAAAGTCGATGGACCTCGGCAAGATGTCCACTCGCGATCGCACCTACGCGTACAGTGAGATCAAGTGCCTTGCAAGCTGCCACCACCCAAACATCATCAAGTACATTGAAGACAAGGAGGAAGACGAGCACCTGCTTATTGTAATGGAATTTGCCGATTCCGGTGATCTTGACCGACAGATCAAGGCTCGTGGTTCAGAGTTCAAGTACTTTCAGGAGCACGAGGCGCTCTTTCTCTTTCTGCAGCTTTGCCTCGCCCTAGATCACATACACAGCCACAAGATGTTGCACCGAGACATCAAAGGTGCAAACGTGCTTCTGACCTCTACCGGTCTCATTAAAATTGGTGACTTCGGCTTCAGCCACCAGTACGATGATACAGTTTCGGGTGTGGTCGCAAACACCTTCCTTGGAACTCCTTATTACCTCGCACCAGAGCTGTGGAACAACCAACGCTACAGTAAAAAGGCTGACGTGTGGTCCCTGGGTGTGCTGTTGTACGAGATTATGGCTCTGAAACGTCCGTTCACCTCCACAAACATGAAAGGGCTCATGGCAAAGGTTTTGAGTGGCGACTATGAGCCGCTTCCTGAAGTGTACTCAGCAGACTTTAGGGATGTCGTCCGCAAGATCCTTGTCTGCGACGCTGAGAAGCGTCCCAGCGTCCGTGACATCTTCCGCATTCCCTATGTCCGCGAAGGTCTGAAGGTGTTTATGCACACGGTGAAGAAGAACTCACGCATCGTCGACGAAGTCAAGGAGGCGCTGCTGACACACGTGACGGAGATTCTTTCCAGTGAGGTGGAGGAAGAGCCGAAGAGCACTCCTGTGGGACAGATCAACAAGGATGTCTCTTTTTCCGGTTACCTCAACAAACTCAAGGGCGGCGATAACCACTCGTGGAAGAAGCGCTACCTGCAGGTGCAAAAGGGACACTTTATCATGTCAGACAAGGAGTCGGACACAGAGGGAAAGGCGCTCAGTCTGGAGCACATTCAAAGCGTGTGCCCGGTTCCGGAGAGTACCGCGAAGAAAGAGTACGTGTTTGCGCTTCACACAACGAGTGGAAAGTCGATGTGGTTTGAGGCAGAGTCGCAGGAAAATATGGAAGAGTGGATTCATGCAATTCAGCGTGGTCTTGGCGTTGCGTAACTAAAACGATACACACATGTTTGTGTGTAGCGCAAGAGGCTGCTCGATTCACACAAATACTCTGTCCAAGGACCACTTATCAGTGTTTCTACTCTTCTTCACTACGGCATCTTTCCTTTGCTTCCTTGCTTCCTTCGTCACGAACATGTACTTCACCATTTTTTCCTCACTTCTTATGCGTTTTGTTTTGATCACGCTTCTATGAAATAGCAGTAGTGAGTCTGCTTGTGTCGCTGTTGTTGTTCCTGTCTTTCGTAACGTTTTTTTTGTTTTCTCTGTGTGTTTACTATAACCTTCTTTGGTTTCTAGGAACGAAGCGCGGTCAGCGATCGATATGTACAGGAGAGGAAGAAAAGATTGCTTTCGGCTATAAGGACAAAACAAAATGAGCCGCTCAAAATATCTATTCGTCGAGTTGGTACTGCTCTTTTTTAGTGTTTCTCTCCTTATTTGAGAGCTCTATTATTCCATCGGGTTTTGTAGACACTATAAGTGCGTTGTTTTGTTATACAGGTGATCTTAACAGCCTAAGGTATGTGAAATGGCAGTTTTCTCGATAATGAGTGTTGAGAACGCAACAGCGTCACACACGTTGCCGACAGTGTGAGTGATGATGCTGGATTTGTGTTTATCGCAGCCGCACCACGTCAAACATCATGCTGTCGAAACTACGGGACAGGTGCTGACCTGCAGAACGTTGCGTATGGTTGCGTGGAAGGTACGGAAAGCATGCGAAACGCTTTTTTCTTCTTTCTGTTTTTTTTTGTTGTGTGTGTGTGTGAATGTTGCAGCCCGAAGGAAATGAAAGCGTTTTACGTTTATCGCAGCTGTAGTTTCTCTTTGGAGCCCGTCAAAATCTCTCTCTACGTTGATATTATCTCTCCTTCTTCATTTCTTTTCCTTTTGTTCTCCTCGCATACTGTGTTATACTCCTCTGCCTCTGCTTATTATTTAAGGTGAATCTCATTCACGTCTGTGATGCTTCCGGCGTCGCAATTGTTGGAGTGCGTCTTCGGATGCAACAACCCGCACCTATTCGCAACGTTTGGTGAAAAGACGTTTATTCCAATAGACCATGGAATTGTGGTGGTGGAAGGTGGCAAGCAGCGTCACTGGATGCCGATTCCTGCTGGCAAGTACCTAATCGATCAGGTCGTCGTCAGTACAACTGGTATCCTCTGCATCACCGAGAAGCGACTGCAAGTGACTCTTCATTTCTTCGACGCCACATCACTGCAGCCTCTATGCGCTGTCGAAACAGACCTTCACGTCTGCCTGACGTCGGCGGTGTTCTCAGCAAAGGGTGACGAATTATACGTTCTCTCAACCGTACCAAACTCCGTAGTGAGTGTGTTTCGCTGCAGTGGCAACGATGACGATTACGGCGCAGCCGGCAAGATTGACGTTACTCGCAACACAGCACCCTTATCCGTCATACCTGCCGACACGCCCGAGAATTCCGCCAAGTTTGTGGTGCGGTACAAGGACGAGCTTCTCGGCTTCTCGCAGGTGAATCCCGAGTTCGACTTTGACATTTCTTTCGTGTGTGGAGCAACCACTGATGTCGCGTGTGCATTAGGATCTGACTCGCTTTGCTACGTCACTTCCGAAAGAGTCCTTTGCACCTATCTGTATGACAGCAGAGTTCGACGCGAGATTTGCGTGCTGCCGTGCTCCTCGCAGCCAACGGCTCTGACGGTGAAAGATTCTACGGCTTTTATCGGCACTAGCACAGGTCAGCTGCTCGCGGTGAATCTGAGCAACGGGTCGCTGATGAGCATACCACAGCTACCGCTCGCGTCGCAAGTACTCAAACTGGAAACAACTGTTTTCAGCAAACTGCTTGTTGGTTCCAATGAGGGTTTGTTTTCTATCAAGCTCTCTCCTCCACAAGATAGTGAAGACAGAACGCAGCTGGTGAAAGGATGGCGAACATCGACAGGCCTCAAGTGCTTGGGCACAGTTGATGCATCGCAGGCTGTTTGGGTTTTACGCGATGGCAGCTTCCTTGTACATACAAAAGAGAGTGTCAGCGAGTTTCTCACCGGAACTGTGAAGGCAGTTGCGGTTGACGCGTGTCTCTTGAACTGTGCACGCTTGCTCATTCTGTACAACGATGCTGTTCTGCGCTGTTTCAACATTAAAAATGGCGAGGAGGTGTGGAGTCACGAATGCACGGAGTGCTCGCCGAAGTTCATGGAGACAGATGGTCGCGGCAATGTTGCTTGCTGCGGCGCGGACACAATTCGCTTTTTATTATGTGACGGCGATGCGGTGGTGGACCGCGGAATCGTGCACGCAGCGCTTCTCGCTGCAATGAGTCTTGCGCGTTGGGTTCCCAATGAAGCGTCTGTGTTGGCCGTCTGCGAGAATGGCGACGTTTTCCTTGTTGAGCGACCGACGGACGGAAGCGCTGAAACCTTCCACGCTGCGGAAGCGCTTGTGAAGAACGCATGGCGACTCGAGTTCCCCGTCACTGATGCGCTGGTCTGCCACGTAACACCGGATCTGATCAACATTTTTGCACACTCAGTGGACCACGACTCGAAGGTGTACGCCTTGGATCGCCGGTACGAAGGCGAGACGAAATTCGCACGGCCGCTGTTCCTTCTGGGCGACCACGTCAGCGGCGGCAGTTGTCTGATACGTCTCAGCGAAAGCAGCATTCTTTCGTGTGGGAGAGATGGACACATTGTCGCGCGTGATTTGACGCCGTACCAAACGCAACTCCCACCCGCTCCTCCGTGGCGCGAGAAGCGCAAGCCACTCTGGGTCTGCGCCGCGCGCTCCTCGTTTCTCGGCGGCATCGCGAGCGCTGCGGTATTTGACAATGGAGCAAAGTTGATATGCAGCGGAAACGACACAGTCCTTCACTGCTTCTCGCTTCGCGCAGACAGCACCAGTGGTGGCACGTGGGAAGAACCTGCGTGGAAACGCGGTGAAGTCGCCGGCGCAGCAGCAGACGTGGACAAGGAGGCCTCCAGCACGTTGAGTAGCGTTGCGGCTCCAGAGCGGGAGGCGCTCCACAACGACCTCACGCGCGTGCGCGAGGCCTGGGCGAAGGTGATGCGGGAAAAGGATGGCGATGTACCTCTGGAGGCGCTCGTGACGGGTGAGCAGCGCGCGGCGTTCATGGTGGAGTGTGACAATGCCGTTCACGAGATGCAGGAGCGGCAGTACTACCACTCCCTGTTGAACGACTACCTCCAAGACACAATCAAGCTGCGGTGCTGCGATTCGATGAAGGTGCCTCGCATGAAGGTGGTGAGCATGAACGTCAAGGGTCTCCAGGTGCACAACTTCCACCTCCACCACACCACGTGCAAAGACGCTTCCTTGGCGCGCAAGGCGCTTTTTCTGCGGCAGCTCCAGAAGAAGATTCAAGGCGGCCGGCGAACGTCGATTAACGTGCGGTCGGCTCTGCAAGCCGGGCCCGCAGTGGGCGATAGCGACCGTGCCTCCGCCGAGTACAGCGACGCCATGGTGAACGAGGCGGATGTCTACACGCAGTCACGGATGGCAGTTCAGTCGCTTCTCGTCAGGGGTCGCGAACTCGTAGTGAAGGAGACCTTCAACGCACACTTCCAGGAGTTGCAAGAGGCGAAGAGAAATCTGGTTGCGCAGATTGAGGAGCGGACGCTGCGCTGCGTGACCATAAGCAAGCAGCTCGGAGAACTTCCGGCGCCGCTTTACACGCCACTTATCGATCCGGAGGAAGACCCCGACTCCCTTTTTCGCGTGGACGACACGGAATTGAGCTCGGAGGCGCAGGCACTCATTGTGCCGTCCGAGGGCGTTGCAGTGGTGTCAGCGGTGAACGAGGCGGCGCTGCATTTGTGGATGGATGGCCTTGAGAAGGAAATGGAGCATCTGGAGGTGGATGTGCCGCTCCCCGAGTTTGCGGACGACTCGCGCGAAGCCTTCGTCCCGCCCGAGGAGCGCACAGAGGAGCAACTGCGCGCGCTCGAGGTGTACACAAAGAAACTCAAAGAGGAGCAAGAGCGGGTAAATGCGAGGAAGGACGCACTTCGGAGCGAATTCACGCTGCTGCAGGAGAAGAACCGTGAGGCCGCAGCCACGCTGGATGAACAACTTAAGAGTGTGCGCCAGAGCCGCCTCAACGCGGTAGAGGAGGTTGACGAGGCGGAGCTTCAGCTGGCTCTCCTTTTTGAGCACCGACTGTGCACCTTGGCCTCGCAGAGACAGCACCGCCTCTGCAAACCCAAAGTTGAGATGCTCCGCGACGAGATGGTGGGTGCGCAATCCTGGTTGACACAGCAGAAGCGCGCCTTTGCCGCAGCGCAGTCGCGTCGCAACGACGTTGAGAACCAAATGCATAGCTATGCCGCTTCAACGCACGCGTCGTACCCTTTCAGCGACGGCGCGGCTGGAGAGAAGCTGCACCGCCGCTTTGTTCGTTGGCTGCGCCGCTTCGAAGACGGCAAGGCACCGCTGCCGGATGCAAATGTACTTATGGCAGACTGCAATGCCGAGCACTGGTCCGCGTTCTGTAGGCATTGCGAGGATGTCGCCGGCGTGCAACGTGTGTTGCGAGCCGCCGACGCGGAAGCTGAACGTGTCGCCGAGGAAGTGTCGAAGGCGCAGCAGCATTGCGACTCTATTGCGAAGCGCATAGAGGCGTTAAACAGGGAAATGCACGCCGTGCGTGACCGATGGGTGACTGCGAACCTCGACACACACCTGCTGTGTCACCTGCATCAAGGCCAGATCCAAGACGAAAGAGCCACCACCTGCACCGCGTTTTCGACGTTCAATCTGCGGTGGCGCGACGATGTGACGCAGTACAACGACTTGATCTTGGCCAGCGATGCACAGAGTCGCGCGTTGCTGGAAAGGATTTCGCAGCGTCGCAAGCTCATGAAACGTCTGGCATGGGAGACGGAAAAACTGCAGTACGACGCCGGGACGCGACAGATAGAGTTGCGGCAGCTGCATACGTTGCGTGTTACGCGTCAGATGCAGGAGTACATCAATGGCGACGAAGGCCTCTCAGAAGAGGAGAAAATTGCCAGCATTCAGCGCCACATGCAACTGGTTGAGGCGAACATGGAGCGAAAGATTGACGATCTGAAGGCTGTCGCGAAACGCATGAGGATGCAAATTGCGGAGCGCGCTACGGAGAACGTAATTGTGGGCCGCCAGGTAGGCGAAGTGAGCAGCACCGTGCGCGACAGTGCGGCGGTGTATCAGCTGATCGGCACGCACGCAGATGGCAGCAACACGTACCTTGCGCGCGCCAAAGAGATCTTCGAAACGAGCGAGCTGGAGGAACTGGCGCGTTCACAGCAGGAGGAGCTCGTGCGGCTGAAACGTGAGGTAGATCGGTTGCGCGAACGGACGTTTCCCTCCTTCGCCGTAGTCTCCAAGCACACACGTTAGATTTAAAGTCTCCTCTTTTTTTTCCCTCTCCAGATTTTACAGTACCCATTTTGGGCAAAATTGTATATTCGACAGTACAGCAATGGAAACAGTAAATCTTTTTCCTTTTCGTTTGTTCTTTACGATGTACTCATATTATTCGATGTTTATTTCCGTACTGTACCGCCTTCTTGGCGAATGTGTTATCAAAAGAAAACGATTACCAAATGTATCAAAACAGTCGTGTGTAGCTGTTCTCGCGGGGTGAGATAGTGGCACTTGGTTTGCTCTGTTGCATTGGAACGACTGTCGAGTAGAGACTCGTAACTCAAATGGTGCAAAGCGCGTGGAAAGCATCGTCGTTTCCTCTGCATGATACGGTATTCCCAGCTTAGAAATCCGTGTTTGTCAACGAAACGCCTTAGAGGAAGTTCAAAATCTATCTGCTCTCTTAGCTGTACATTTCCTCTCTTTCTGTTTTCTTTGGCCGCGCAGCTGATCTGAACTCACATCAAAATGGAGACAGGCAACGTCGCGACGACCGAGCGAGACGCCCACCTGCAGAACGTAGAGGACACGTTAAACCGCATAGCACACCACCGAGGTGTGGAAGGGTACTTTGTAATTGAGCCCAATAAAGGGAAGTTGCTGAACTTTGCTGGCTTCAGCGGAAGCACGAGAGAAGTTAACCGCTATGTAGATAAGCTCAGAGGCTTCATAGACCTCGCCGCCTCCACAGTCCGTACAATTGATTGGCGTGATGAAATGACGTTTCTCCGCATCAGCTGTGGTACCGTCGATATTCTTGTTGCTCCTGACGCTAACAAAGAGTACACCATGGTTGTCGTCCAGAGAATTGATGCTGAAGGCCAATAGAGAGTCTTTCTTCTCAACACGCTCAGATAAGAAAGAGCGGAGGCGAGGGCCGTGCCGACGAGCGGATGTAAAATAGAATCCAATCCGGCTGACAGTTTTCCTCTTGCGTGGAAAGCAATGTACTATCCGAAGCTGTTGAGCTCCCCCTAATAAAGAAGAGGAGCGAAAAAGTGATTCAGAAACAGAGTGTTTGGCCCTTAGTTGAGTGCTCCAAGGAGGCAATGGTTGTCGCAGTTGACGTCATGTTGAAGTAGCTGTGTTTGCTTGCTGCTGACTTGTGTCGGAGAAAGAAAACACAAAATGCTGTCTCCGACACATGGCTGAGTGAAATACTCTTTCTTCCTTCCTGAAACTTGACACGGCATTGCAGAAACTTACTTCTTTGAGTGAGATTGCTTTCCCGCCCCCTGCTATTCTTCGACCTCTCCCAAACTCACAATTCTTTCTTCTTAACGTTTTGCGGGTTTTCTAGCTCTCCCAGTCGGTCCAATGTACGCGGTGAAGCCGTGGGGCCATGTGATCCTCGTGGGGAGCTGCATCGGTACTTACGCGATGGGGATCGGCATGCGATGGCGAGAGTCGAACGTGACCGTGGTGGAGCAGAAAGCGAACCCGTCGTACGAGGCGAATGGGATGCGCCGCTGCGTTATGACCGCTCAAACCATCAAGCTCTTGACAGACCTTGGGTGCACCGAAAGGAGAATTCACTCTGTCCTCCGCCCTGCTCGTGGGTGGCGCTTCCTCGCACCCGACCTCCAAGTTCTCCGCGAGGGAGTTACCTTTCCCGGATGCGCGCCAGGTGAAACCGCCTACCACTGCGCGGAGGGTTCCCTGCTGCGCACCCTCCGCTGCGAATTTCTCCGCTTTGGTGGCACGGTTGAATGGGGCACTCGGGCGTACGACGCCTTCGAGAACAATGACGGCAGCGATACGTGGGGCCTGCGCAAGGACTACGGTTTGGGCGCCAACGCCGAGGCTATTTTAACCATGGCAAAGTCCACCCCGCTCTCGGAAATGCTGATCGCCCCGGACCCAAGCAGGATCGCAGTCCTGTTTGACGTGGAGAAGGGTGTGCGCAAGATGCCCGTCGCGGAGGTGAATGCACTTTTTGGCCAGAACTGCGATGTTGCCATTGTGGTTGGCAACGGTGTCGCGATGCACTGCTGGAGGTGCGGTGCGGCGGAGTGCGCGTGGCGGCTGGTTTGCAACGCTTCCAAGCAGGTGTGCGTGGAGGACCGCCTGGACGGAGTCCACGACTTGCTCAAAGAGGTTGTTTTGAGCTCCGAGAAACGGGAAAGTGCGGTTTGCGCACTTCCTGGCACCACGCCTGCCATCAAAGACAACGCCACCCATTTCCGTGTGGGTCTTCTTGGCGACGGACTTCTGCCCGTGGACCCATTTGAATGGCGTGGCGACAACGCGCGCTGCATGGTGGAGGAAGCCTCCACCGTGTGCCGCCTCTTCTATGGCAAAAAGTACCACCGAGGCGATGTTCCGTCGTTGCTGCGTGGGGCGGAGCAGGACTCGATTTCCAAGCGCGCCAATCTGTTGCAGCGTGATTTGCACGACGCGGAGCACTTTCTGGCAGTTCATCCCCAGCTGGAAAGCGAGCCTTCTGCACCGGAAGCACGCTGCGTCGGCGTGTGAATCGTGCTCAAGGTGTGATTATGACGGTGCATCACGTTGAGTTCTCTGTTGTCGTGCAGTTTCTCGCCAATTGTATTACTTTTGAGAGGGGATCCTTGTTCCGAAGCAGCTGCTTTGCTATGGTCACTCACCGAGTCTGCGAAATTGTGGCAGCTCCGCATACACGCACCCTGGAAAAGAAAAAGGAAATGAACACTTGCCACTTTGTTATCCTTGACTTCTCACAGTTAAGCGGGACAAGATGAAACACCGAGCTCCCACTGGGGTGCTATTGCTGTTGAGGGATGCCGCTTTCTCTTGCACGCCTTCTCCTTTTTTTTTGTTACCTCGATTGTATCGCCCGTGTCATTGCAGGGGAAGAAACTTGTCAAACTCAGTCTCTTGTGAAGAATCGTCTTTGTTTCTCTTTTCATTTTCGTGATGGGCGCCTTCTCCCGGTTCTTGCCTTTTTCCACCCACTCCCTGTTCTTCGCCTTCTTTTCCAGACGTTGCAGTTCGCGTACGAAAACGTAGCTTTTACATCTTTGCAGTCATCGCCAACTCTTCTTATCTTCTTTTGCTCTGCTTCTTCCTGTGGTTGGTCATTTGTTGTTTCGCATCCGTCGGAAAAATGCTGCGCCGCACGATCTTCGCCGCGCAGCGGAAGATTGAGAAGCTTATGGTAGCGAATCGCGGCGAGATCGCCTGCCGCGTATTTCGCACGTGTCGCCAAATGCACATCCGCACGGTAGCGTTGTTCTGCGAGGCGGAGCACAACGCCAAGCACGTCGTCGAGGCCGACGAAGCCGTCTGCATCGGTCCTCCACCAGCGATTAACTCGTACCTGCGCGGTGACCGCGTCATCGAGGTAGCGAAGAAGTTGAACGTGGACGCCATTCACCCCGGCTACGGCTTTCTGTCGGAGAACGCGGAGTTTGCAGAGGCTGTCGCGAAGTCTGGCATCGAGTTCATCGGACCTCCGGCGTCCGCCATTACAGCCATGGGATCCAAGAGCGAGAGCAAGCGCATCATGGAGGCCGCTGGAGTGCCGGTGGTGCCGGGGTACTACGGCACCAACCAGGATCCACATTTTCTGTCCCAGGAGGCGAGCAAGGTCGGGTACCCCGTGCTCATCAAGGCTGTCTCGGGCGGTGGTGGCAAGGGAATGAAGATTGTGGAGCGCGCGGAGGACTTTGCCTTCATGTTAGAGAGCGCCAAGCGCGAGGCGACGAACTTTTTCAAGGACGATCGCGTCCTCCTGGAACGTTACGTGAAGCGTCCGCGCCACATTGAGTGTCAGATTTTCTGCGACAAGGAGGGAAGGGGCGTGTTCTTCTTTGAGCGCGACTGCAGCGTGCAGCGCCGGTACCAGAAGGTGCTTGAGGAGGCGCCGGCGCCGTACCTGTCCGCTGAGACCCGCCAGCGCATTGGCGAGGTAGCGCTGCAGGCCGCGAAAGCCGTGGACTACGTCGGCGCTGGCACGGTCGAGTTCATATTAGACACGACCACAGGAGACTTCTACTTCATGGAGATGAACACGCGACTCCAGGTGGAGCATCCCGTGACGGAGGAAGTGTGCCGCGTCAAGGGAAATCCGCTGGACCTGGTGAAGCTGCAGATCAAGACGGCGATGGGGAGGCCCTTAACGTTCTCCCAAGAAGACATCACTTTGGAAGGCTCCTGCATCGAGGCACGCGTGTATGCCGAGTCGCCCGAAAAGGGCTTCCTGCCCGAAAGCGGCCCGCTCACATTCATCGGCGAGCCTTTCCAAGGTCTGCGCGGGTCGACGCGCACTCGGCTGGACACCGGCTTCCGCCAAGGCGATGAGGTGCTGATTCACTACGACCCCATGCTGGCGAAGTTGATCGTTTGGGGCCGCGATCGCCAGGAGGCGCTCAAGGGACTACAGGAGGCCCTCGACGAGTACAGGGTCGCCGGCATCAACACGAATATCGAATTCCTCAAGCGCTGTTGCGAGACGCCGGAGTTCGCCAAGGGCGGTGTGACCACAAACTTCATCAGTGAGCACGAGAAGGAGCTGCTCACGGCGCCGGCGGTGACGCCCGACGTGGCGGCCATGGCGGCCACCGCGTGCCTCCTCCACCGGTGCGACAACTGGCGCGGGGCGTTCCGACTGAACGGCGACACGACGGCCACCGTGCATTTCTCCGTTGGTGAAAAAATCGTGGAGGTGCTGTTGCACACGGAGAGAGCGAACTACCACAAGATCTACTACAACGTCGACGGTCAAACAGGCTCCTTCTCTGTTGGCTCTGGTCCAGCTACCGCGAAGCACCGCGACGTGAAGGGCCTCGTGAACGACTTCACATTTCTGTTCGAGGACGGCATCCGCCACACCGTTCTGGCTGTTGTGACGGAGCGCGATGTCACCGTCATCGGCAGCTTCGGTTTGCACAAAATTCGATTTCCTCCTCTGGCAGACGGCTTTGGCGACGCCTCGGCGGCGGGAAATGCCTCCGCGAAGATGATCAGCCCCATGCCCGGTAAGGTGACGAAGTTCGCCGTGGGAAACGGCGACATGGTTGAGAAGGGCCAAGTCATTATGATCTTGGAAGCCATGAAGATGGAGCACCCTATCAAGGCCTTGAAGGGCGGGAGGGTGTCGTTCTTTGTGAACGAAGGAGAGATGGTAGGCGGAGACCACCCGTTGGCTTCCGTCTCGGAGGCCTCGTAAGTATAGACAGTGTTTTTCTTTTCTCAGTTTCATTCACCTCTTGCAAGAGTTCTATTATTATTGTAAAATTGCGTGTCGGTCAGCTTCGCCACCTATCCGCCTAGGTTGTCCGTAGGGTTTGTCAGGCGAGTGCAGAAACTAACTGGGCTCACCACCTTTGCAGCTTTGAACTCTATTGCCTTGAATGTATAGTGTGGCTTTTTATATATATAGCGAATACATCTTATCAGTAAAAGAATCACATTTTCTAGTATCCGACTGTGTGTGTGGAGGCGAAATGCGTCGGCGTTGTATGTGCGTCAAATGAACGTTGATTTCTGTTGCTGTCTGCCTTTTTCATGTTTCACAGCGTTTGCATCGCTCATCTATCAGAGTGAATTGAGGTGGTGGTGGTGGTGGTGGTGAGGGTTAGTAGTCCTGCTGGGCTTCAGTTCTTTCACTTGTATCGGTTCCCTTTGCTTTGCCGTCTCCCCCATTCACTTCTCTTCTTTTTTCATCGCCAACGTCTCGATTTGATCAATTTCTCCTACTTCACATCGCGTCAAAGAAGGGCGGTGCTGCGTTCTCGAGAAGAGCACTACTTCCACACTACATTAATTCACATCTTCTTCATCGACGTTTCAGAACACACACGCACACGCGTTCTTCACCTAGCGCATCACAACGGAAATGGCAACCGAGGGAGTTTCCGCGCCTGAGAAGGTGTCGTCGACGTCCTCTGCGGACGAGGAGAGCTACGGCCTGTTGTACGACGGCACTCGGTTTCGCGTTCCTGACACGATGTCGGTCATGACGGCGCTTCTGACTCCCAAGTCGTGGAAGAGTCCGGCGACGCTGATTTGGGTTGCGGCGTGGTTTTCGGTCGGCATGACAGGCGTTTTTTACTTCAACAAGACGCTGCCGCTGTGGTTCTTTTGTGCCCAATTTGCATTCTGGCGTCTGGTGTACAACATCGGCATCGGGGCGATCCTCCACTACCAGTCGCGGTACGGCTCCTTTCTCAAGTTTTACCGTCGCACCGTCCACGGCCACTCGTGGATGCAGCGCCTTCTTGAGGCCTCGATCGTGTTCGAAGACAACACTGAGTACAAGGTGTCAAAGTTCCCCGACGAGTTCAACGCGTGGATGCTCTTTCGCCAGATTGAAAATGTCGTTCTGGCCAACGACCTCATCTCCTACTGCGTGCTCTCGGTGGTGTGCTGCGAGAAGCTAAGCCTGACGTCACCGGTCGACCTCCTGTGCTTTGTCTTTGGCTGCGTCACCATCGCATTTGCGCTGTGGAGCAAGTCCGATGCACACCGCGTCGTCGGCGACTTTGCGTGGTACTGGGGCGACTTCTTCTTTCTGCTCGACAAGAATCTCACCTTTGACGGCATCTTTCAGATGTTCCCGCACCCCATGTACACCGTCGGCTACGCCTTCATGTACGGCGTGCCTGTGATGACCAAGTCGTACACGCTTTTCTACATGAGCGTTTTTGGCCACCTCTGCCAGCTGGCGTTTTTGGCCTTTGTCGAGAACCCGCACATCGACCGCACCTACAACGTGTTGTCCTCGCCCACGCCCGAGGAGCAGCAGCGCAACGCGGTTCTGTACGGCAACGGCAAGGACGCGTATCTGGAGCACAATGAGCTGGTGGTGTTTCTGCACTTCAAGGTCTTCCGCGCCAGCGACCTGTTGCTCGCTCTGACAGTCATCTACCTTCTTGCCACGCTTCTACTGCCCCTCCCGCCGTGGCTCTACGCGGCGCACGTGGTGGCGTGGCGGCTCTTCCATAACGGTTTCCTCGGGTATCTTCTCAAGATGGAGTCGCAGGAGAAGTGGTTCTCGCGGCATTACGCGGACCCGCAGGCCGCCTTCAACAACTGGAAACGCATTTACAACGCGAGCGTCACCATCACGAACTTGTCGTACTGCCTGTGTGCGATCAAGTACTTCACGTGGGTGATGCCGCTCTTCGGCGGCGGCGAGGCGCGCTACTTTGTGATGATGGTCGGCGCTTTACTCGTTGGTATCAACGCGTACGTGAGTTTGAGCATCTACGAGGCGATCGGTGACTACGGTTACTTCTACGGCGACTTTTTTATCGAGGATGTTCCCGCGAGGCTCAATTACAGCGGTGTGTATCGCTACCTTAACAACCCCGATTCGTCTCTTGGCATGTCGGCCTACTACGGTGTCGCACTCATTTCAGGCAGCCCCACGGTGCTGGCCGTTGCGATCATCTCCCACTCCTTCGCGAAGCTCTTCGAGTTGGTGGTCGAGAAACCGCACATGCGGAAGCGCTACGGCGATCAGCTGCGAGTAGCGGGCGGCATGCAGACCGAGCTTATCCGGCGCATGAAGATCTCAAAGGCAGAGTACGTAAAGAAGATGCGCGCGTTGCGTGCCAAACTGGACCGTAAGAAGGCAGAATAAGTCGAATGCCGCGGCTCTTATTCTCTTCATTGTGCTTACGAGGGCGCGGAGCTTGCCAAACAGAAGGTGGATGGGAAACCAAGACGGTGATGTTCTCGGACCCACCTCAGTGAACAAGCCGAAGTGAAACGTCACGGTGCCGCCTCGGTGTGCCTTCTCATGTTGCTTGTCTTCTGACTTTGCTGGATATTCAACACATATTTTGCATTAATGTTTTTTCTTTTATTATCGAGGGTTCTTCTTTTGCGGCTTTTATTGTAGACATTGGCACTGACTTCGCTGAAATGTGTTTTCGTTATCCCACGAGCCTCCCTTCGTTTTGCAGAGTCCGAGTGCTTCATTTGCTCATTGAGGGAACTATTTGAGATTGATGGATGCGAAAGCGCGGTACGGTAATTAAAGCCAGTGAAGAGAGGGAAGGGTCGTCGCTTTGCAGCGTGCAAGGAGGCACAAAGCACAGGAAAGTCGACTGTCTTGACGTCTGAGCCACTTTTAACCGACGTGCTCCACTGCAGGGAGGTAGTGTGGTAATTTGCCTCTAGCGAAAAAAGAAAAGCCGTGTTCTGTCGCTGTTGGTGTTTTGGCGCCGTTGTGTTTCTCTTATCGAATGCACCTCCTATCCCTGTCCTCATTCCTCCTCTCGATCTCGTGGTGTGCGTTTGCGCACGCATACGACGTGTTCTTTGGCTTCTACGTTTACCGAGGTAAACGAGAAAAGAAGCAGAAGAAGTTGCGTTGCGTTGCGCTTGCGCAAGTAGAAGTGCATTACAGGTACACCAAACAGTTTTTAGACTTTTATCGAAGTTATGTCCCTCGTTGGCGTTGCGATCGGTCAGGTCGGTGCGACCGAGACGCCGGACCTCTCCCGTGCTGACTACCCGGCCAATCGCAGCCGCCGTGGCAGCATCTCAAGCTCCCGCTTCAGCAGCCGTCTGAGCCGGTGCTCCAGTGTGCGGGACGAGGTGCAGTCCCTCGACGAGTTTCTGCGCAAGCAACGCGTCATTCGCTACATGCAGGAGGAGCGCGAACGCGGCAATCGGTCGAAGCTGCTGCGGGAGGAGCACGACGCCTGGGTGGAGTTCCGTGACCAGGAGCGGACGGAGCGCCTGAAGTACATGACGGAGCAGGAGATCGTGGAGCTGCTGCAGCGCGAGGCGGACGAGGTGTCGCGCGAGAAGAAGACAACTGAGCAGTCGCACCTGCGCGCCAGCGAAGACGCGCAGCGCCGCCGCCAGAGTGTGATCGAGATGCGCCGCCAGCAGGAGGACACGGTACTCGCCCGCCGCAAGAGTGAGGTGCAGGCCGATGAAGCACGCCGCGCCGCGGAGCGTGAGTCTGCTGCGAAGGAGGAGGCCGTGGCGGAGGCGGAGCGGGTGCAGCTTGCCTCGAAGGAGCTGCGTGACTGCAAGGAGGAGCTGACGGCCAAGTGCAAGCAGCTGGAGGGCGAACTCGCAGAGGCGAAGGCGGCCACGACGCAAGCGCAGCGCTCGCAGAAACGCGCTGAGGAAAACCTCGCAAAGGAGCAGGCGAAGGCGGAGAAGATGAGAGCCACAAAGGCGGCCAACCAGCAGACGAACGACAAACTGGCGAAAGAACTGGAGGAGGTGCGGATGCAGCACGCAGCGGTTGAGGCGGAGAAGAAGAAGGGGGACGTCGCAATGGCGCAGGCCCTCCGCGATGTGGCGCGAAAGGAGAAGGAGTTGGAGGACTTGAAGAGGCACAACGAGGAACTGCTTGCAGTGCAGGAGGCGCAGAAGGCCGCCACGGAGGCGAAGCTGCGCGCCGCCCCATCGCGCGACGAGTTGTCCGCGTTGAAAGAGGCGCTAGCGAAGGAGAAGGCGGCACGAAGCGAAGCGGAGTCGGAGGCGGCGCAGGTGCGTGCGCAGGTAGAGGCATTGCAGCAGCAAGTTGCGGCGGCGAATACGCCGGATCCGCAGCAGGAGACGGAGAACGCCCGCAAGATGAAAGCTGTAGCCGACGACGCCCGCAACGCGCAGGTGGAGCTGCGAAAGGAACGTCAGGCACGTGAGAGGGCCGAGGCCGACGCCGCCGAGGCGAAAGTGGCGCTGGCGCAGGAGCAGGCTGCTCGCGAGAGGGCGGAGAAGGAGGCCCAGAGGGCGCTCGCTGTCCCCGTGCAAACGCCGGCGCCGGCGAAAAAGGCGGAGGCGGACCGCAAGAAACTCGCAGAGGCGGAGAGGAAGTTGGAGGAGATGCGCGGGGCCAAGGCCCGGGACGAAGAAGAGCTGAACGCCGTGAAGAGTGCGCTCGTGAAGGCTCATGAAGATTTGGAGAAGGAGGCCGCCGCGCGGTCCCAATTTGAGCAGCTCGCTTCTCAGGCAGTAGCCGCTGAGGATCGCGTGCCGAAGGAAGAGCTGTATGAAACGCGGAAGAAACTGCTGAAGGCGCAGAAGGAGCGCGACGCGGCACGCAAGGATGCGACAAGTGCGCAGCAGAACTCGGAAAGGGAACTCGGTGCGTTGAAGGCGTGGTGCGAGCGCCTGCAGGAGCAACTGCGCCAACAGCAGCAACAGCAGGCAATCCAAACGGACGATGAGTTCACGCCGCGCACCTCTACACCCACGCCCCATTCTCGCACCCCGCGCGCTGTGCGGAAACTCCCGCCCAAGGACTTTGCAACGGCCCAGCGCCAAGACGAGGAAAAGGCCGCCAACGAGCAGCGCATTCGCGAGCTGGAGGCGCAAGTGGCAGGTCTGCAGGACGACCTCAAGGAGAGCCAGGAGCAGGAGGAGAAGGCGCTCGCGGTGGCGGCGAGCGCCATTAAGGCCGCACAGGCCCCCACCCCCATGACGCATCCCAGCTCGAGCAACGCGTCCCCTTCGCGGGCCCAGCGCGGTGCACCGACGAAAGAGCAGAGGGCGCGGGGGAAGGCCGCGAAGGACAAGGGGGACACCGCCGAGAAGGAGAACGCAGAGGTGCGCAGCAAGTACGACGATCTGCTCAAGTTGCAGAAGCAGTCCGACGCGGCCCTCAAGAGCGCGGAGAAGCAGGTGGAGGAGCAGCACAAACGCATCGCGCAGCTGGAGGCGGAACTGCAGGAGAAGGCCGCGCGCTCTCCTTCACCCAGGCAGGCGGTTTTAGAGACGCACCAAACGGAACCGATTGCGGTTGCGGCAGCTTCTGCCAGCGACACCAGCGCTTTGGAGGAGCGCATCAAGGAGCTGGAACGCTCGCTGAAGGATGAGCGCGCGGCTCGTGTGGCTGCGGAGAAACAAATCGAGGAGCTCAAGAAGCGCGCAGCGGCCGCTGAGGCGGAGGCCAAGAAGGCGAAGGAGGCCGTAGTCAAGGCAGAGGAGAAGTACGGCGCCTCGGGTGCTGGTGCAGAGAGCAAGCCAAAGAAGGCAAAGAGCAGCTGCTGCTGATGTATGTCATCATGGAAGTGTTTGCTGAAGTAGGAACACCTTTTTTTGTGGATACATTTTCTAAATCTTTCTTTGTGGAGGTGTGCGCATGCGTATCAGAGACGGTGCATCACCATCTTTTTGGCAGTCAGTACCTGAGCGACATCATTTTGGCCTGCTATTGGGCATTAGAAATCCATCTCCTTGTTTCCCCGTTTTATATTTGTCGTGTGTGTGCTGTACAGCCTTGCGCGTTGCAACGGCGTGACAATGAAGTACGTGTTTTTCCTTTTTCCTATTTTAGAAACAACGCGGTTTTCTTTTCATGGTGCACTATCTGTGCTGAATGTTTTTTGTTGTTTTTCCCACATAGTTAGACATGCTGTCTCCGTTGCTTGTTTCACATAATCGTCGCTTTTCTCCTCTGCGTATTTCTCCTTTTACTCTTCATCGTTTTCGTTTTATTTTCCACCTTCGCATTCATTGTATTATCTTGAGGTTGGGTCGGTGCGGTTGGCGTTGGTCCATTTCCAATCGTTTCTACAGGTGAGAGGTTCGACGGAAAGTGGTTGCGTTCTGTTGTGCGCATTTCTTGTGTATCCTTTACGAGCTGACGGAGTGTCGTGGTGCGCTTGCCATTTTCTCCATCTCGCTTCATTTGCAGCTGAACAAGAGCAGAATGACAAAGACAGCTCAGGCAAAGCATGTTCGAAAAGGTAGTGAATTAAAAGCAGGTGTTTCCTGCAACCGTTGGCTCTCAACGCTTTCACTGCGGCTCTTGCGACTCCAAGGAGACCTAGCCGAGACAGCGGGCCTCATATTATCGTTGCAGTTCCAAGGGCTCCCACTTCGTGGGGTACGATAACAACACCGCAAATCGTAGAATACGGGGGCGTTCAGCACTCTTTTCCTTCTATCGCAAACTGCCTCGCTGTGCTCTTCCTTCTTTGTGTGTTTTCATCTCGCCTCTTTTACCTCGCACAGCCACAGTTGTACCTCACCTGTACGTTCGTCGACGTCTCCACCTCCCTCCCCTCGAATCAAGAAAGCGTGTTTTCTATCGCTGCCACACAGGCGTTTCTTCAGCCTTCTCGCCATGGATGGCATGTCGACATGCTGCAGTCGCAGCGAGTTTAATCAATGTGCCACTAAGCTGCAGGACGAGACAGCATGGGAGCTTCGCACGAAGCAGGACGCATTCGGCGCGACTTTCCTGTGGCTGGAGGCAACCTACGGCATTCCTGCTGCAACTTCGTTGGCCGACAACCTTATATTAGTTACCGTCTACGCCGTTTACAATCCCGACTTCCGCGTTCCGCAATTGGGCTTCTTTACCTCATCACTGTTGTCTGTCGACGAGCTTCGTGCCGCACTCCCAACTCTCAGCTTTCTAAACGCCGTGCTCGAGATGTCGAGCGGCGTTGATGCGGCGTCCACCTGCCCGTTGGTAAGTTGTTCGTGGAATGACGAAGTCCAGCGACACATGTGGCTGGTACACCCCTGCGACACGGAGAATCTGATACGACGCAGCCGTTACGGCGGGGCCCGAGGCGATCCTTTGGTAGTTTTCCTACGTGCAATGACTAGCTATTTTCCTCTTGCCCCCTCACTCGTCCCCTCTGCTTAACATACAGCTATGCGAGCTCCGTATTTCGCACGAAATAACAGCAAAATCGACACGTTGAGCTTTTGTAGTCTTTTCCATCCGGTCAGACACTCTTTCACCGGCACAGTCTACTGTCCGGTTAGACTCTTCCACTCCGTTGACGGTATCTTTCGTTGGGCAAAAGTGCTTTCTATCTTTTCTTCAGAGAACGACCAAAACAGACTTTATGATTCGTTTTGAAAGGGCGGGCTGCGCCATCCTACATGTGCTCGCTCAGGCAACTTCAGCACGCTCCCAAAGCACACATCCACCTCATTCGCTTCTCGCTGCCGTATTTCCCACTCTCGTTTCTTCTTCTCTTTTTTTTTCCAATGCGATGACGTTCCTCGTGTAGTCCACAGAGCTTTGCAGATCTTTTTGCAAAAGAAAGGCTTCCGCTTTTTGAGACCGAATAACACAGCACTGCTGTGCTCTAATGCGCTTTCGTTGTGCTGCTCATTGACCACAGAGACGTATACAAAAATGCTGCGGTTCTCTCGGCGAATGCTGGTTTCAGCTGGTAGTGGACCCTTTGATCCCTACAAGATTCTCGGTGTCAAAGCTGATGCGTCCAAGGACGAGATCAAGAAGGCCTACCACCGGCTTGCCCTTCGCTTCCACCCAGACAGCGGGGCAGAGGGCAGCGCGGAGCGTTTTGCGGCGGTGAACGAGGCGTACGAGGCGGTGAAGGACGGGAAGTGGAGGCCGAGTGCGGAGCGGCAGCAGAAGTCGGCCGCGGACGGCGGCAGTGGCTGGAATCCGAAGATGCGGATGTATGTCTACGAGCAGCCCGGCTCCACGACGGAGGGCTATGTGTCCGGCGACACGGAGAAGTACCTGCGCATGTTCATGGTCGGGTGCTTCTTGTTTGTGTTTATTCGCTTTTCGCTGTTCTTTCTTCTTCCGGGAAAGAAGCGCGAGGAGGTGCCACTTGAGTCTCCCGGCACCGACGGGGTTGGGGGTAGCGCAGACGGTACGCTTGCCTCCTTTGACGGTCTGTCGTCATCAGCCTCGCCGTTTCCTCCTCTCCCAGGTGGCGCTACGAAGGACTCTGTCCACCGTGACGATGAGGCGGACTTTAAGTGGAACTACGACGCCCAACGTGCGCCAATGCAGGATCCTCTCTCGCATCGGCAATAGGGAGAGTTGACATACATCATCTCACTCTGATGCTCCTTCTCGATGGGAATGTGACACAGATTGCAAGCAGACCTGTGCTGGCCAAACGAAGAATCGAACTAAGTTGTCGTGATCGCGTTGCTTTTTTCAACCGGTCCACGATGAGATACATACGGAGTGAAGACGTTTATTTCTGCAGGTGCAGCGGTGCCTTTTGATTTGTTGCGTTAAGATTTTTAATCCTGTTTTATCGTTTAACAACGGAAAGACTGGCGAACATCAATGACGGAAGGGCTTCGTTAACGAAAGGAGGGAACAGGAGGCTCCCGCCATTGATGTGCCACACGCGCGAAAACCCTTTCATATACTTCGTGTCACGAAAGATGCGATTCCGTCTTGGATTTAATAGCCGAATGCGTGATGTCTGGTCTCTGATAGACGTATCAAGACACAGCAGCAACGAGCAGACTAGCTTCTTGTTGGTGAACGACACTCGGAAAAGTAACAGTTACCCTGCTCTCCATTGTTCTTTTTACTGTTAACTTCAACGTTCTGTCGAGGAAAATCCGGAAAATTTTTCTCGGCATTCAAGCTGCGTATATTTATTCCGCCCTTTTTTTACGGCTGCCGTCATCGTTGCCCATTCTCTTCTCTCCGTGCCTTTCTTCGTGGCCGTTCAACGCAGCACATCGCACTCTCTCATTTCTAAGAAAAGTTTCACGTTGCTAGAAGGGCAATGTCTCACATCGCACATCGCATTATAACACCAGCGGTACGGCGCGCCAAGTACTCAGGATACGTCCTCAGCAGTGGCGTGAGATGCGTTATTGTGCAGGACCCCAACGCCATCATGCCGGCCGCTGCCATAAGCATCCACGCTGGTCAACTGAACGATCCAAAAGAGCTGCCAGGGCTGGCACACTTCTGCGAGCACATGCTGTTCATGGGCACAGAGAAGTTTCCAGCGGAGGATGAATTCGACAGTTTCGTCACCAAGTCCAGCGGGCACGCAAATGCCTTCACGGCGGACACCAACACGGTCTACTACTTTCGCGTCAGCGACGGTGGTCTGGAGGGTGCGCTGGAGCGTTTCGTTGAGTTCTTCGCCGCACCGAGCTTCAACCCGAGCGCGGTGTCGCGAGAGGTGAACGCGGTGCACAGCGAGGATGAGATGAACCACCACAACGACTACTGGCGCCTGGACGAGGTCATCCGCGGCTTCTACAGCCCCAAGCACCCGCGGAGTCGCTACGGCAACGGCAACCACACCACGCTGCGTGACGAGCCGCAGGAGAAGGGTCTCGACGTGCGGCAGGCCCTCAAGGCCTTCCACGATCGGTATTACCTGGCGGAAGGGGCAACCATTGTGGTGGTGAGCACGCGGTCCCCCGAGGAGGTGCTGAGGCTCATCGAAGGGCCGTTGAACCGCATGAAGTGCGGCGCCGTCCCGCCCTTCTCTTTCCTCGGCGCAGAGGAGAAGCTCTTCAGCAACGCCGCACTTGGTTCGTGGACCAACCTGCGGACGGTGCGCAAGATGCGCGAGCTGCGGCTAATGTGGACGGTGCGGTCGCCGTCGTCGAAGTGGCGTTCCACTCCATCCGCCTATGTCTCCCACCTGCTGGGGCACGAGTGTGACACCTCCGTGCTCGGGGTGCTGAAGAAGCGCAATTGGGCTACCAGCATGGTCGCCGGCCCGCACCGCGTCGACGACGACTTTGAGCTCCTGGACGTCTCCTTCACGCTCACCCTGAGCGGCTTCCAGCACACGCTAGAGGTGGTGGACCTCCTCTACCACGGAATCGGCCAGGCCATCGCGGAGGGCGTGAATGAGGAGGTCTACACGCAGATGAAGGCGGAGGAGCGACTGTTCTTCGAGAGCAGCGATGTCGGTGCGGCGGAGGACCACTGCGCCACCCTTGCCGAGAACGCCAACGCCACCGACCTCGAGCACTGCTGGATCGGCGGCGATGTTATTCTAGAGGACGACTTGGAGGCGACTCTGGCCTACGCCCGCCAGCTGACGCCGAACAATTGCGCTGTGGTGCTTCAGTGGGGCGAGATGCCGGGCGATGCCGACACAAAGACAGAGGAGGCGGGAGCACAAGAGGACAGCTCCACTGCGGATTCGCTGGACGAAGAAGAGGACGGCAGCGTGGAAGAAGGAGAGGAAGACGACGACGAAGGACAGGACGAAGAGGACGTGGACGGCGGCGAGTTCTCCGTCGAGGAGCTCTTTGCCTCCCTCCCCGCCTTCGCGCAGGTGCGGGCCACGAAAGAGACGCGCTTCCACAAGGCGAAGTACAACACGGTGGCGATTCCGGCGGAGCAGCTGGCACAGTGGCGTGCCGCCATCGACGGCCCGTACCCGCCTGAGCTCGCGCTGCCGGCGGTGAACCCCTTCATCTCGACGGACTTCACCGTCTACCCCACCTCGGGGGCGGCTCCGGAAGTAGAGGAGGTGACCTCGTTGCACGCGAAAACGTACATTCGCAAGGACACCGGCCGCCACAGCACCTTCAAGACGGCGTTGCGCTGCAACGTGCTGTCTCCCGTGGCGTACACCAGCCCGCTGAACCGACTCTACACGCGGGTGATGCACGGCATCTTCTCTAACGCGATCACGGAGACCGCCTACTACGCTACATTGGCTTCTCTGGGGAATGAGGTCATTTTTTCTTCCACAGGATTGGGTCTCGCGGTGGAGGGGCCCTCGCAGAAGCTCTACGAGTTTTTCTTCGCTGTGCTGCGGCAGTTGCTCTCCGCAGAGGTGCTGCATGGAACCCCGGAAAGCTTTGCCACCTACCTGGAGGCCGGTCTGCGCAGCATCAAGAATGTGGCTGTGGCAGCGCCGTACAAGGTGGCCATGCAGGTGAGGCAAAAGGCGATGCACCGGGTGAACTATTTGTTTACCGAGATGCTCGCCTGCGCACCGGAGGCGAATTATGACGGTTACCGTGCGTTTGTGCAGCAGTACCTCGAGAGTGGACTTCTGCTGGAGTGCTTCGTGGCGGGCAACGTGGCCTCTGCGGAGGAGGTGCGCAAGGTGTTCGTGAACCCCCTCGAGACGTTGTTGAGCGAACTGAATATATCTGTTGCCGCCAAGGAGCGCCTCCCACGTGAGCGTGACACCTACGGACCACGGCGCTTGATTGGCGGCGCCGAAGAGGAGGTCGTGTCGCGCTTCGACGTGCTCTCGATGCCTCCGTTCAACGCGGCTGACGCCAACGTGGTCGTGATGGCGGACATCCCCGTTGGCGAGTCCACTCCGCAGGTGGCTGCGGTGAGTATGGCCGCCGTGAAACTCATTTCTTCCCTCTTCTTCAACGCCCTCCGCACTCGCGAAACGCTCGGCTACGTCGTCTTCTCGCAACTGAGCAGGACCTACGCCACTGAGCACGTGGTATTCTCCGTTCAGAGCGCGCTGCCAGATGTGGACTGCATCTACCTGCTCTCGCGCATCGTCGCCTTCTTGGCCGCCGTCGAGTCCCAGCTGGACGTCGTGTGCGCGGAGAAGGACCTGCAGACGGTGAAGGCGGGCCTCATTGCGTCGCTGGAGAAGATGCCCGACTCCGTCGAAAACGACGCTCTGGAGCTGCAAAGCGCGTACCTCAACCCCTGCCAGTTTGAGCGGCGCCGGTTGATCATCGCTGCTCTTCAGACGACTACGGTCGATGACGTAAAGGGGTTCTTCCGGCGGTATATCTTGAACAGCCGCACCGACTCGCGTGCGATGGTCTTCTGCATCAACAGCACGCGCACGGCGGCCGCCGACGTCCTTGCTGCACCGGGGACGCGCCGTTTGAACCTTCCTGCGATGCGCGCCAACGACGAGTCGACCGAAGCGCCGGCCGCAGCTGCTGAAGAGGAAGTGACTATCACGCTGCCCACGTTTGAGGACGGGAGGACATGTGTTGAGGTCACTTGCTTCGCATCGGCCACAGAGTATCAACAGGGTCTGCCGATTGTGAAGTCCACCACCTACTAGGCTGTACCGCTCACCTTCTACAGGGATCTCTCTCTCTGTGCAACAATGTGTTATGAGAGCACTTTAGACTGTGTGCGTTGGCGGGCGGTTTTGGCGGCTCTCCTTTTGTATTAATGCGCTTCGCTGTTCGCCTCTCAAGGTTTAATACGCCAGTGATAATTACGAGACCCATCTAAAAGCAACTAGGCGTAAAGGGAGCTTCAGCGAAAAACGAGAACCCCTTCGTTTCCTCGCTGACAGACAATCTCGTGATACCGCTTGTCGGCGGCTACGGCAATGATGTGCGTAAAAGCGTGCCGCAGTGGGCCGCTCTCTCGCTTCGCGTTCCTCAGGGCATACCGAGATGCTGCTCTAACCACAAACAGTGCGTGGCAGCTCTCACGGGGAGCGGTTTGTACTTCTTCTTCTGCACCTCTTTTCTCAACGTCGGCGCATCTGAAGGTATGGAATGGAGTTTGGCCGCCTTTCTTCTTGTGGCTCACTGAATTGACGCATTTTACGCCCCTCCGTTGGAGGTGGTCAGTATTTTAGCCTTCGGGCCCGCTGCTTGTCTTGCCCTTCATTGTGCTCCTTCTCCGTTATAGCTGCTACTCTGCTTCTTAGTGCCATTGTTGCTGTGAGTACTCCGCTTTCAAGAGCTCTTTTTGTATTTTTTTTTCCAACTCCATTGTGCAAATGAATCAGCAAGCCAGCCGGTTTGACTCCGACGAAGAGACGCCGGCGGCCGTGACGAATGCAGCCGCATCGAGCGTCAATACGCTGCTGCCGTCCTCAGACCTTCCGCGAGACCTCACTTACGCGATGAACGGCAAGGAGGAGTCGCTCGCTCTAGACGAGTTGTGCAGTAAGCTGAAGGCACGGTATGAAGCCATGACGTCGCTGCCGTCCTGCGTCCCGGCTGTGGTTTCGCTTTGTGTCGGTGGGAAGAACTTTTCGGTTTCGAGAGCCCTGATCGAGAAGGACCCAGGATCGGTGCTGTTCGTGCTCACGCTGGAGCACTTCGCACCGTCTTCGTCTCGATTTCGCTCGACGTCGGCGTCTTCCCTGAGAGGTGGAAAACGCGACCGGGGCGACGTCGAATGCGCAGCGTCGAAAGCGGCTGCGGAGACCGCCATCGCCGTGCCAGAGAGAATCCCAGAGACGTTCGGCATGCTCCTCAACATGCTACGCGGGTACAGGAACGCGATTCCGGTGGAGTGGATGGACGCCTGCAGAGAGGAGGCGGCGTACTACGGGCTGGAGGGCTCGTGGAACGCACGATTTCACGTGCTGCCGACCCCGTATTATTTCCGCAACCCACTCCACAGCTCGAAGATACTCTCCGATGCTGTGCTGGGCGTAGCGAGCGACTTCTTGACTTCAGGGGAGCAGCACATTGACTTCAGCGTGGTCCAGTGCGATCGGGTCGGTGTGGGGGTGATCAGCACCACAGGTGGCAGTTTGGAGGAGTTGGGCCCACAGACGCAAGATGGAAATAACGGTGCGTTTTACTGGAATGACGGCAAGCTGTCTTTCTACATGGGGGAGCCGCGCATGGTGGAGACCGGCTTCCCCTTCCCTGCCGGCGCTCTTATTCGTGTCGTGTTCGACGCAGACGAGCGCATTATTCGCTGGATCGTGAACGGGGAGTACTGCGTGGCGATAGAGCGTCTGCCTTCTGGGCGGCGGTATGCCTTTAGCTCCATTGCGTCACGCAGCTCGCAGGTGACGATTGTGCCGCTGTAAGACCGCAACGTTCTTTTTTCCTTCTTAAGGTATCACCCAGAACGTTTGTGTTGCACCGCCTGGAAAGCCGTGACCTCAAACAACTGTTGAATGCGCTCGAATAGCGTTTTAGTGAGAGTCACGTAAGGTGGTGGCCGAAGGACGATGTGATGAAGAGCCACCAAGGCTCCGCAGCTACGGATCTCTCGGTACGCTTTAACAAACGAAACTCTGCTGTCTGAGGGCAGCACAAGCACTCCTGCAAATGGAAAGGCTCGTGTTCGACCATTTCAGACAACTCCCTCTTTGTTTTTCCTTTTCTGTATATGTGAAAAGGATTGAGAAAAAGAGGCGGTGGGCAGAAGAACCGTAAATGCGGCCAACGCTGCGACTGTGAGATGGAAATGAGGCTCGGAGCAGCTGAGCCCATGGGGGGAGTACATCGTACGGAGAGTCACGCAGAGGCCCGCTTTTGTAAAAACTCTTTTTTCTGACCCCCACTGCTCTACTGCTGTGCTATACTTTGTGTGTTTGTCCTCTGTCACGTCCTCATCTTTTGCCTTCCGTTTCGCACTTTTCGCTGCTTCCGTTCTCTCACACCTTTCAGTTGTACGAAACCGTACCCTTCCTGAACGTACAACGTGTGCTCGACACTCTCTCCGTTAAATAGCCTTTCACCTCAGCTTTTTCTTTCGTTCCGTTGCAGCATTTCATATTCGAGCAACTGCTCTTGCGAACGTAGACCGCATAGTGGCCAAGGATAACAAGGAGGTGCTCTCTTTTTCCCCTAATAACTGCTTCCTGTGCTCACGCCTCTTTCTAACCTAATTTGCCGTCAAGCACCACTCACTGCTTAAAGATGCCCTTCGGGTCGATTCGACGCGCCGCCGTCTCTGCGCTCGCGGCGGAGGGGGAGGGGAAACACTCGCTCTGTGACGGCCTGACTGGGAGCTACTCTGTTGGCCTGCACGTCTTCGCCATTTTCCTTATACTGTTTATCTCGATGCTGGGCACGGCGATGCCCATCATGACGAAGTACATCGCCCTCTTCCGCGAGAATCCCTTCGCCTTCACGGTGGGCAAGACGGCCGCGACCGGCGTGCTGCTCTCCGTCTCCACCATCCATCTTATCCATGAAGGTGCCGAGGCTTTTCGTGAAGAGTGCGTTTATGCCTTCTTCAAGGACTACGAGCCGTTTTACTTCCTCTTTGCGCTGATTGCGGTGCTGGTGATGCAGGCGATCGACTTGCAGCTCGCCGCCGTCGCCGAGCGCTGGCTCAAGAAGAATCACCAGCAAAACGCGGCGAGCTCTGAGGTGGTCATCGTGTCCGACTTTCCGGAAGACAGCGCTGCCGCAGCCGGCGTCCCTGACGCTGCTGGAGCGGATCGCCGGGCACTGGCCAACGAATGCGATGCCGCGTCCCAGGCCAGTCCTACGAGCCCCGGCGTGCAAAAGAGTGCGGTGGACGATCAGCGTGCGCGCCGCAACAGCAGCGGCAGCGAGAGAGACAAAACCACCGTAGGCCTCTCTGACGCCGCCGCGGTGTCCGCGTTAGGGAACGACCATCACTCGGATTTGCACGCGCACGCCGACGGAGAATGCGAGGCGCACGGACACCAGCACTTGGTAGTGACCGTCCCCATGGACATGGGCTCCATCCGCCGCGTCATCGCCGCCGTCTGCATGGAGTTCGGCGTGACGTTGCACAGCGTCTTCGTGGGCCTGGCGATCGGGCTGACGACGGACACGGAACTGAAGCCGCTGCTGTTTGCGCTTGTGTTCCATCAGCTGTTTGAAGGCATGGCGATGGGGTCGCGTCTTGTGGACGCCAAATTCGAGGGCAACTTAGAGACCTACTTGGCCCTCGTGTTCTCCGTCAGCGCACCGGCCGGCATGGCTGCCGCGACGATCGCGGTGTCGGTATCGCGTGATGCGATGACTGGCTCTGGCTTTGTGACGATGATGGCCATTTTGGACTCGCTCTGCGGCGGCATTCTGCTGTACCTCGCCTTCACGCTGCTGCTTGGCGACTTCGTGGCGGACATGAAGCTGTTCTGTGCAGACGATTTACCGGGGCGTCGGTCGCGTAAGATCATCCTTTTCGCTGCGCTGTGGTTTGGCATGGGCTTGATGGCTTTTGTGGGCAAGTGGCTGTGATTTCAATCGCGCGTAACCAACAACTTTTTTTTCTTCTCTGCTTTGTCTCACTGCCACTGCCGGGGCTTCCTCGGTGAGTTTCGGTACGGCAGTTGGAGCATTCTAAAAGATACGGGAATGACAGCAAAACATCACGAGCCTGCGACAAACCCCCGACAAAAAGGTTTTGACTCGATTCTCTTTTTCTGCCTGCATAAACCGTGATGCACGTGCACATCCTTGCGTTGTAATCCTATACAGCAGCGATAGCACTTTAATTATTTTAACGGCCGAGTTTGATTTGTTTTCAAAGGAGGAGGGAAGGATTGAAAAACCCCTTTTCTCGCTCTGTTCCTTTTTGGTGTTGCGATCCGGTATTGCTGGTGCTGGAGCGGGCTGAGTGGCCTTCGTTTGTCTCGCACTTTTAAACGTTCATCTTCTCTTCGTGCTATCGCTTCGCTTCCCTTATATAAACTACCAACTATTTATTTTGCCGTTCTTTTTCGCCTCTCAGTGTTCCAACGCGGCGAGTTTCGTTAGAGCAGGCCAGCAATGTAGGTTGAGTGTTCTTTGGGATCCACGTCCGCCTTAGTGGTAAACGGACGGATGGAAAAGACGTACCGTTTCTCTCTGACGGGTGCTCGTGCGGCTGCGCGGTGTCCGCGTTTCGGCTGGTAAAGTGGGAAGCGATCTTAGCCCATCTTTGCGCACAGAGAGCCAGGAATAGTTCGGATGATGCCTTTTGATAACAACTCGGTGTGGGTTTGCGGGGGATGTTTCTCTCATGAACTTTGTACTGCTATCGTGCTCCACACATTCTCCTTCGTGTTTCTCACGAGCGGCGACTTTAACGTTTTCAGCCTAAGCTCCCCCTTTTTTTTCTATTCCCTTCTCTCGCGACTCGCGTTTTTGTTTACGTCTACAACACCACCTTGTCGTTCACAACAACGGAGTTTCTACGTGGCACGCCTGGCAAAGTGGGAGGGTTGTTGCTGGAAAACACACCCTCATTGGTTGCTGTTGTGCGCTACTGCGGTTGTCACTGCCGTATGGCGTTTGCTTTGAAAAGTGGTATTGTCAGCCGTTCTCGCAAGACCGACTGCTCACGCGTTTTACGTTAACGACTGGGCAGCGCCATATCGAAAAGCACGTTCATGCTCCATGCGATCTTGTTGATGCGGTTGGAAAGAAGTGCTGACAGTATGAAAGAGTCTAGTAGTGCTGCACTGCGCGTGGTTGCCATGATGAGACACAAATGGATCGCTGACACTGAGGGCTCCGCCCGATGCCAGACAGCACCGTTACAGAATCGTACTTGACTGAGAAACCACTTTGTCTTCTGCCCATTCGAAATGCCCACGATGTTGTGCTCTACCGTTGGCATCTCTCACCCCTCAAATCGTTTCGTGGCCCGCGCGTCGGCGGCGTTCGCCTTACTCGGGTGGGCCCACAACGCAAGCTCACCCTCCCTTTGTCCGTGCCGTTGCGTGCGCTCTGCTGCAGTAATGTGCCGCGACGATGACTCCCCAAATCGTTGATAACACATTCCTTGAACCTCTTCCTTCGGAGAAAGATGGACGCATACAGCGAGCCGTAGGAAATCGGAAATCACATCCTGTTCTAGTAGCCTGCGTGAACTAGTCCCTCATCATTTGCCTACTGTGAGTCTGGCTCGCCAGCATTCCCATCATGCGATCTCTATGAGCGTCTGTCGAATAGGATAGATCACGTGTGGCGCTGCCGTTGCCAACGAGGGTTGGCATCACTTCATCTGCCAAATACCTCCCCTTTCCCCGCCTTTCCCTTTGCTATTACATCGGCTAAACGACGTTAACAGGCGAAAAGCAACGTTGCTGAAAAGAGGCAAACCACTCGCTCTTATCGCTCCTGTTCTACACATTCTATTGACGTTGTTTTACCTCCTTTTATCCAACACTTCCCGTTCCGATACATCCAGCCCCAAATGCAGCAGTTGACGGCCGCCGAGGACTTCAGCGTCGAAGGCTGCCGACGGTACCTTGCAGATCGCGGATACAGCGTGCAGGGCTCGGACACACATCACTTGGTCCGACTAGGAGACCCCACGCCCACGCAACATTCTCTGTGTGATGGTTTGGTCGGCGTCTACTCCAACGGGCTCCACATCGGGGCGATCTTCCTGATCCTGGGTGTGTCCTTCCTGGGCACTGCGATCCCGATCGCCGGCAAGTTCTTCCCTGTCCTGAGCCGCTACCCCTTCGTCTTTGTTATTGCGAAGACGGCCGCCACCGGCGTGCTGCTCTCCGTGTCGACGATCCACCTGATCCACGAGGGTGCGATGGCGTTCAGGGAAGAGTGCATGGACGAGACGTTGAAGCTGTACAAGCCTGCGTACTTCCTGTTTGCCCTCGTTGCCGTTCTGCTGATGCAGCTGCTGGACATCCAGCTTGGCGAGATTGCGGAGCGCTGGCTGAAGGCGCAGTCGACTGCGGACGCCGCCGCCGCTGCTGAGGAGGCGAGTGCGCTGGCGGATGAAGGCGACGCCGCAGAGCAACCGCCGCAGCAACCGCAGGAGCGGGACGGCAACTTCGTTGAGTTGGATGCGGGGCTGACTGGCGATGCGCCGGACGTGGATGCGGCCGGGTGTGACGCTGTGGTGGCGCCTGCGAAGGGCGTGTCCGATGACTCGACCCCTGCTGAGAAGCCGAAGCGTGACGACTGTCCAGCTGCCCTTGCCGTGAACGAAGCCCCATCGTGCCCCTATGCACACGCCAGTGAGCACCGCGCTGAGTCGAAAGACGACGACTTCGCCGCTCATGGTCACCAGCACTTGGCGGTGCGGCCGCCGCGTGACATGAACTCGATCCGCCGGGTCATCGCCGCCGTCTGCATGGAGTTCGGCGTGACGTTGCACAGCGTCTTCGTGGGCCTGGCAGTCGGGCTGACAACCGACGCGGAACTGAGACCGCTGATCGTGGCGCTTGTGTTCCACCAGATGTTCGAAGGCATGGCGATGGGGTCGCGTCTTGTGGATGCCGACTTCCATGCGGGCCTGGAGGTTGTGCTGGCCCTCGTGTTCTCCGTCAGCGCACCGGCCGGCATGGCTGCCGCGACGATCGCGGTGTCGGTGTCGCGTGATGCGATGACTGGCACTGGCTTTGTGACGCTGATGGGTGTGCTGGACTCGCTCTGCGGCGGCATTCTGCTGTACCTCGCCTTCACGCTGCTGCTTGGCGACTTCGTGGCGGACCTGAAGCACCACTGCGCGGATGGCCGGCCCTACCGTCTGTGGAAGAAGATCGGCATGTTTGTGGCTCTGTGGATCGGCATGGGCCTGATGGCCCTCGTCGGCAACTGGCTGTAGTCATCCCTCCGTCATGCGGTGAGTGAGCAGTATGAAAACAGAGCTGGCGAATATGCGAATGGCTTCCGTTCTGCTGTCGCGAAGGCTATTACGGAGAGCGTGTTTCTCACACAGAAAGCACGATGTTTTGCACCGTGACGCAGCTCCTCGTCGCCCCTGGCGAAACAAATATATGCAAAATGTATGCTGACTGCTGTTATAACTAAATACATTCAAAATTCCCCTATCTCTTTAATCGTGATGTATAAATGATTAATAGCCTTGAAACAAATGGCCTCGGTGTTATCTCTCTCTTCTGGTTTTAGTACTGTTATGGTTTACAATTCCTCTCCTTAGTGTTCTTGTAGATCACAGCGTTCAAATAAATGCTGTTTTAATGATTTCTTTCTTTATTGTGTTTGGTAAAGCTGTCTAAGTTTTTTTTTCCCTCTCTCGTAAAAGCATCCCGCCGTTGTGTGATACGCATGGAGCTCTTCTCTTTGCCGTTTTGTGATCTCCCTCTTTATTGACGTGATTTCTATTTTTTCCCTCATGTCTATTGAGAAGAACGATATTAATGAGAAATAACAGTGTTCCTTTTCTCCAGTTCCCCTTCAACGAACGTACGCGGAAGCGAGAGCACGCGATTATCTTTTCTTTCCTTTTACGTACTAAGAAACTATCAAATTCGTGTTGGCAATAGCAGTTCAGTGCAACGAAAACAGATGTGTAGCTTCCGCTTTTCCTATTACTTTCTATACCTTTCGCACTCAACACATCCACTGCGATCGGTTGCTTGGCCAAAGTAGTGTTTATTTTTTGAATGCGTCTCTCCTCCGCCTCCCCTCTTTGTTGGCCGTCTCTGCATGCGCACCAGGTTTATTCTCCTTTGTTCTTCTTCAGGTCTCAACTGCCGGTTAACTACAGAAAGAATAACGAAGCTTCTTTGCACTTCCGTCGCCTGGCGATGCCGCAGATCCGTCGGTTGAAACGTACCTCCACTTCTGCGGTTTGGCGAGGGTTCTCGCTGCTGCCTGCACCGCAGTCGCACCGGTTTCCGCAACGTACGAGCAAACAGCGGCTGCTCTGGGGAGATCTCTCGCCCGCCGTGTGTCATGAGCGTGGACTACGCGTCCGCCAGTGTGGTAGACGGCACGTTTTCAGCACACTCGTTGCTGTGCACCTCTTCTTCTTTTTTTGGTATATGCGCATGGAAATAGGAAATAGGTATATCGAGACTTAAAAAACCGTGTTCAGCTAGCTTTGCGCCTACGCGGTGCGCAGTGTCCGTTGCACCTTTCATTGCCGCGGTGAGCAGCAGCAGCAGGAGCCACAATGCACGGCAAAGAGAACTACACGCCGCTGCCCATTCCAGCTCACGTTGGTTCCTCTCTTCGCTGCATCCTTCCTCGCAGCATTCTCCCCTTGACCTTCGCCTTTCTGTGCTCTGGTTTTGTTTTTCGTTGTCGCACAGCTTTCACGAGCTACTGGCCCTTTTGGTTTTGATTCCTAGAAAAGCGAGCGCACGCCATCGTCTACCAGCCGCCGTAGCGTAGATTTGGCTTCTTCTCTGTTTAACGCTCTCAATCCCTTTCCTTACACCCACCTCCTCCCGAAGTACGGCCGCGATGCGTGGCGAGGAGTTCAGCGTCGAAGGCTGCCGGCGGTACCTCGCAGACCGCGGATACAGCGTGCAGGG